AATTATAAACATTAATATAATAAAAGGGAAATCTGACAATCTTATGAACAGATCAATTTGGACAAATTCTACCAGTTTCTTAAGTGACACAAGCAAATGTCATTTTTAAAAAGTTTTGGATAACCTTAATAATCCTGTGCTTGCTACTGAATTCATACATGAAAGCTACAAAGAAAATGCCAAGATTAGATGCTTCCCTAATGAGTTGTACAGAAATGTTGAAGAACAAATAGCACATTGTACAAACTCCTCCAGGAAACAGAATGAGAAGGAATATTTTCCAACTTGTCTTATGAAATGAGAATTACCCGATAGAAAATTGAAAATATAATGATAAATAAAGATCAACATTTTCCCAAACCTAAGATACATGAAAAAATAAGCAATTAAATATTTACTACTAGAAAATCTAATTCAGCAGTACAAAAAAGAAGTATATTAATGAGAGGCTTATCCCAGGAATATAAAACCAGATCACCATTCAAAACTTAACCAATATAATTTACTATTCTAACAGATTACAGAAGAAAAATATTGTAATTACTCAAATAATATTACAAATACGTTTGATAAAAATAAAACATGCACATTATTTAAATCCTAATTCCCTAAAAATACTCTAAGGAATTCAGGAATTGAACTTCCTTAATCTGAAAATGTGTACACACAATGATAAGAGCCTTGAGTCTTTGTCTCTAAAGTGGGAGTATAGCAAGAAGACCTATTCTCATTTTCTCCAAGACAAATCAGGGGAATTATAAATAAAGAGTTAAAAAAAAGGGGGGGGGGTAGATGGTAGGACATAGGAGATAGACTTCTCAGGGATGGGGAAGGAGAGAAAGGAAATAAAGGAAAGGGAATGTCAAGGTAGGTATCAAAAACCATCAATATGATTATCACATGAACATCCCAAACAAATATCATTATGTATTGTAAAAATATAACAATGAGGTAAAAAAAATACTGGATATATGATGCTCATGAATAAGGCAAGGAAAAGAAATAAAGGACCTATTGATTGAAAAAGAAGATACAAACTTTTTGTTTGCAAACAATACGACGGTATACATAGAGGTTTCCCAACTATTTCTGCAGAAACAGTTTAAAGTAGTGAATGAATTCCTTATGTATTTTAAGTTGTTGTCTTTGTATCAATAAAGCTGGAAAGGTGAATAAAGTACAGATATATGCTGCACCCCAGGGGACCTTAAAAATATTGTACGAAGTGAAAAGATCTCACATATTTTATTCTTTTCCTCATAGTATCTGGAGAACACAAAGCTGTAGGTGTAAGAATTGACCAGTGCTGGAGAATATGGAGAAAACAAAGGAGATGGGTTGGAGCAGCATGGTTACTTTTTTAGACAATTTAAGTATTCACAATTTGATTGCTGCATCATGGTGGCACAAGAATGGAACCCCAGCTGCTTGGGAAGATGAGGCAGGAGTGCCACAAGTTTGAGGCCAGCTAGTCCCCACCAAAAGAAAGAAATAATGTTTGAGATGTTACTCAGTGGTAGAACACTTGTCTAGCATGGCAAGATTCTGAGTTCAATCTTAGTCATACACTGAAACAATATATTAACCACTGTTAAAATCCTATCATTTTGTTTTGAAATTCTGTGTCATCATTTTTACTCTTATTTCATTTTGAAATAAAAAGTGTAAAGGTGTTTAATTGTACACTTGAAAGGACAGAAATGTAAGACATATAAATTGCACCTCAATAAAGCCATTTAAAAATAAAATTGAATTTACTGAAGTTATACAATATAAGACATACACATGAAAACCAACTGGGTATAATCCAGCAATAAAAATGACATACTGAAATTTCAGAAAATGAGTCAACAGAAAAGTATCAATGGGGTGAAGGTGTGGAATTCCAGCATCCTAAAAGGCTGAGGCAAGAGGATTGCAAGTTCTAAACTAGCAGGGTCAACTGAGTGATTTAGCAAAAGCATGTCTCACAGTAAACAACAAGCACAACAACCACAAAAAAGAGCCATCTACTCTAGCACAAAAAAAGCACATTTTAGGAATTACAGAAAATACATGAAGAGTTGAGTGTGTGTGCTTTAACTGAAAAATATTGACGGAATAAATTGAATGAAGTTTCTTTAAATAGAGAGCTATACCATATTGCTTGATTTAAAAATGCATTATTGCTAAGATGTAAATTTTCTACAAACTGATATATAGAATTAACATATTTATAATCAGTTTCCAGAAAACTATCTTAAATATCAAAGAGCTAATTCTAAAATCTGTATGGAAAGGCAGAAGGACTAGAATAACCAAAACAGTTTTGAAAAATCAGAACAAAAGTAGAGTAATTATACTACTTGACTTGAGAAATAGCAGCAGTTCAGTAAAAGAATATATAGAATAAACAGATAATAATACACACATATTTATTGAAAAATTTGCAAAAATGTAAATTGTTTTAAATGGTATTAAAACAGTTGATTCCCATGTGCTAAAAATCACCATCTTTGTTGGAGGCCCCTCTGCTTTGGTAGCAGTGGGTAATAGGACAGAGAAGAGGATGGAAGAGAAGTGTCATTAACATATTATGTGGCTTGGTTTTTACTATCTCTTTGCCAAATTCAGTTTCCACTAATGGGAAACAAGAGACAGAGCCTAAAAACAAGCAAACAAAAAGGCAATAAGATAGCCCCCCTTGTAAATATTGTATGGCAGGATCCTTCTGACATACAGGACACAGTACTTGATATGAATGTAACAAATTTGTATATAAAAGTTTGGGGACAGATGAAGGAAAAGATAAGGGATAAAAGGAAAAGAAGGGTAGAGAGAGGCACAGTGGGAAAGGGAGTAGGGAAGACAATACTGAGATACATGGTATTGAGAATGCAAGCAAAGACACAAAGCTAACACTGTACATGTGGAACACGCCCCACATTGGTTAATCCAATGGCAGCAGTGAATGGAGGGCATCGAGAGGTGAATGCACAGCGGCACCTCAATTTATGAACTTAATTCTTCCCATGATTCTGGCTACAGACTGTTGGATGAGAACCAAATCCAAGGAGGTTAGGCTCAGTGTTGACTTTATGGGGAAATTTGATTGGGTTCTCATACAATTTGGTTTGCAATCAGAATCATGCAGAGAATTGACTTTGTGAACCAAGGTACCATTACACTATCATTGTATGAAATCTTTCATAGGAAAGCATATTCATTCTTGCTCTGATATTACATAATGATAGTTGTAAAGGAAAGGAGATGACAGTTTGGGTTATGTATGGACTGGCATTCTTAGTTCATAGCCATACTCAATCAAATATTAGTTGACTATCACACATAATACCACGCAAAATGTTATGCATAATTCAGAAATAATATATTGCATTTGCCCTAAGTAGTTTACAATCTGAAAAGCAGAATCTAGAATATCTGCAAGAAAAATATAGTTTGAATAAAAGGATTAAGTTATATGCATTTGAGATTTTGCTTCCAGAGCATGAAAGCAATAAGCATTTTCTCAATGTTTTCATTTGCAATATTCTGTGCTAAATATTATAACGTTTATTCAGAAAGTTAGCCTCCTTTGCTTTACTTTCTTCTTTTTCCTTCCTTCCTAGGACATAATATTGTGTATACACACATGCTATTACATACTAATCAGTGTCTAAGTCAAGAGAGAAACAAGACAGATATCATGTTGAAAAATGAGATTGAAAACTCCATTTCAGAGATGAATAAACTGATGGCAAGAATAGCTCAGAATTTGTCATGAATTATATGAAAAAAGGTTAAGATACAGTGTTAACATTTACTCCAGGCCTCAAACTTTTAAAAACATTATTTTGATGGGTTTAATTCCCAGGACCACAGCAACAACTGTTCTTACAGTGAGGATAAAATTATAATTTATATGTTTCAAATACTCTTCATTTGATTGGAGAAATTTCTCTTGAAAGACAAACCTGTCAAGTTCAATTGGAAGCCAGATAAAAAATTAGCCAGAGACCAGGCGACTTTCACTCTGACTACAATATTACCATTCCTAATTTCCCCCCATCTGTGTTTCAGTTTTGATCCTTCTTCTTTTTCAATTTCTTTTTTTAAAGGCTATTTTCAATTAGGATTTCTAATTAGATTCTAAACTTGATACACATCTCTACTAGAAAGCAAATGGCCACAGCAGTAATTAAAAGGCAGCTGTCTATTTTCTTGGGACGAAGCAAAACTCTTTGTTTCTAAGTTTTGAAATCCTGCAGAATTTTTCATGACTTTGTCCTTCTATTTAAATAATAGCCAACTTAACTGAAAGGTGCTGAGCTATAAGAATGTCAGTGCCCTCTCTGACAAACACGTATGCTGAAAATGTCTCTTGTGGAATGAGGACAAGTGAGCTCAAATACTCTGAGTCCTCAGATGCTACTGCGAGTACAAAATCTCCACATTTTATAGGATGGGGAATCGTTCTTTAAAGTACTACAGAATGCATTAACTCCAGTCATTTACATCGCTTTAAGGCTTTTTTAGGAACGTAAATTATGAGGTTTTAAAAACCAACAGTTGACATTTTTGGTGTAAGAGAATATGAGTCAGATTAGCTGACACACAAACAATAATTTTTTGGTTTTTCCTTTGTTTGGACTGTAGGCACCATCAAGTTGGATGGATTATCCCCACTTTATCCAATTATGTAAGATAATTTCATAGGTGAGTTTCCCATGTAATGTGTCTTTCATGAATATGTGACAATTTAATAGTAAGTATTACTAATTTAATTTTTTTTTCACATTTCTGTCTAGGCCTAACCCAATTGAGGCTCTTACAACTGGTTTAAATTACAAATAGAAGTCAATTTTTCTTTAGGATATGAACAGTTTCCTATGTTAACACATTTTAAGACATCAATCTGGTATTATTATAAAATATTTTGCTAGTAACAGGAGAAACAAGATTGCATCTATTGTCAGTTTTACTATGCATTGCATGTTAGTTACTGAGACTGGCTTCTGTACCTTATTTAGGTTGTACGCCTCAACACTTCTCTTTGATGATTATTTTGCTGGTTTCAGGATTCTGCAAAGGAAAAAGGAACAAAATGTTAGTACTTGGTGTTTCATAGGAAACTTATAATGTTTTCATAGATATGATACTCAAATCCTTTATGCTGACCTTTATAAACTTAAGACTTTTCATCACCACAAGATCTACAGAATATATTTCTTTCTTATTTCTGACTTTATTCAGAAGGTCATAGAGCTCCTTTATAAGGGTTATTCCTTACCCTTGTTTACTGCTCACATGTGCTACTATGCCAAAACATATTTTAAATTTAAACTTTATTCATCGTAACCACTGGGCAAGAAAGAATTAACTAGCAGGGCTGCTTTACCAACTCCTGCACATTCCAAGACTGGTCTTTGATTCTTCTTAGGAAATGAGCTTCGAGCTATTTGTAGCCTGCTTAAGAGATTTGTAAAACTTACTTTTATGTATGAAGCCTTGGACAATGCTGTTCCACTCCGACCAGAGAACATTATCCTACAATGTTTCTTACAGTGAATATTTGCTTCTGCTAGAAGGAAAAGGGCACTGGAGTCAGTGGAGTTGAGGTGAGTTCCTCAGGGCTACACGCCTGTGAGAGTAACCTTACGTGAAGTTGGCTAAGCTTGTACCACATTTCACATACCACATTTTTTGCCCGGGAACCTTAGTAAGTTCCTATACGACTCCACTGGGTGGAGAGGTGTGAAAGTCTGTTTCATGAACCTTTTTACTTTGCTGATTTTAACCTGTATCCTTTCACAGTAGTAAAACATGGTCAGCACTGCACAGCTTTTCTGAGTCTGAGGAAATTATGGTAGCAAATCATGAAGCCTGGGGCTCAGGCTCATGTCAGACACTGCTCTGTGAGGCAGGTACTGTTATCATGCATGCTGTGTAGCGAATTTAAAGCTGAGGGAGCTCAGGTGGAACCCCAAACCTAGGTTAAGTGTCAGCATTTGAAGGTGAAAGCAAACTAAGCCCAGAGTTTGGTCATTTTATCACAATTCGTGTTTTTTTTTTTTATCAAAGTATTTGTCATTATAAGTTATTTAATAAGTGCATTAAAATGCTGCCTTCATTTTTCCTATGTTTATTGTGAGGAATGATCATTTTCAAATTATACACTTATTTTTGGTTACTAATATTCCATTGCATCTGTGAAAACAATCCTGTAACTTATTCAGTTTATTGTCTATCCCTTCTACCTTTTTCAAAAACACCTTTCCTCTTGTCCTGTTAAAAATGCAGATGTAATCATGACTATTCATATACAGGATCATATATCTCTCTCCACCTACAGGATCCAAAGGGAATTGGTTCCACAACTCCCCTGAGAGTATCATAAGTCTCAGATGCATTAGTCCCTTATCAAAGTGATGAAGTTTTTCCATATGCTCTATCCACATTGTCCCTAACCCTTAAATCATCTCTAGGCTATTTGTAATACCTAATACTGCAATGTAAATGCTACATACTATAAATGATACACTATGATATACTATATTGATCGGAAAATAATCTTAAGAAAAAAGGTCAGTGCACATTCAGTATGGAAGTAATCCTTTTATGTTTTCAATCCAGAGTTTACTAAATCCAAAAATGTATACGGATGTGAATATGGGTAAGGTGAGTTAAAAAATTATATATATATATATATATATATATATATATATATATATATATATAGTGAGTAATCTTTAATTCACACTGTCTAATTTAATTTGGGGAAAGAAAATATTACTACAGTTTTTCTTAAAATTTGTCATTGTTGGAGTATGACAGATCCAGATATACTTTTAAGATAAGAGTTTGAAAAGTTTCAGAGTAACAAAAAGCATGAAACTAGTCACTAAGTTGAAACTAAAAAAAAAAAAGCAAAGCAAATGTTGATTGCTAAACACAAAATAGAAAAATAATTATAAGGAAAAGTCCTGGACTTGCTTTTTTCAAGCTTTAGTTTTAGACAGACTTTACAAAAGACATCTTAGTCTACTTAGACATGATCCTTAGGTGTCTGAGATATAGCATTTGAACAAAACCCTAATTTATCTGTTATCCTTTTCAGATCCACAAGAGTTTAACATCATGTTCTGTTGTACACACAGAGCATGGAAGTGCTCATTTTAATCACCAGGACAGATCACACATCCTGATAGTTTGAGATGTCATCACATCTGCAAAGATGCACAGAGACAGAGGCTCCTGTGGTCCACAGTTGATAAGTAAGCCCTTGAATAGTTTTTAAAATGCAAGTAAAGCATGTAAAGGAAGTACAGCCTCTACAGAGTGATGGTTAAATAAATTGAAAGAAGCAGGATAACTGTGAAAGTCTAAAGAACAAAAAGTTTATGATGTTGAAAGTTCAACTGTCTCTCAGGAGCCTGAGCCTTTCAGGCTCATTTTGTTCTCATTAGGGTATTATCCATCACTTGTTGCTTCCATCATTCAGCAAGAACTGATGTTTACTCAAATCTACTGAAGTGTTCAATCATCTTAAATAAATATCCCGCAGAGTAAACGCAAACAAAAGGCCTCATTTAACACATATATCACTACTTTCAAAATAAATGATCAGATAGTACATTTGGATAAATTAGGACATAAAATTTTCTTTAAAAACAAAGGGTACAAAATTCTGCCTCGGGCAACTTCATAATTTTAAACTGAGCACTACTGGTTAGGGTTAGAATGTGACATAATAAAGCCTGAGGTTGCCTGCTTTGGGCTCCCACTTTATGCTATCGAGGTTGGTACATTCCTCGGTCCCTGTTCTCATCCTCTTTGTGATCCTAAACAATACATTCATCTCATTGAGTCTCACTTCCTACCCGGATGTATCGTGATGAGAATGTAACTATCATCAAAGTTGACTATTTCACTTTTACATGTTGCTTCACAGAAAAAACCTTGGGCTTTGAAGGTCTTATGTTCACTATACACAGCTTGGGCGACTCGGAACAAGGACTTCCTCAGTGAGAGATCTGGTATATTACACAAAAGGCAGCAATCGACAGGTGTAGCATTTAAAAGAGATTACAGAGACAGTACATTGTGTAAGTCAGGGAACTGTGCTATCTGACAGTCCTGATAGGTTCTGAGAAACCTAAAATTTTGCCCCATAGAAGGGCCAGTATCTAAATACCCTGTTTCACAGACCATGTGCATGTAGTTACTGAAAGCTATATTTAAAAACTATCTCTAAAATACCTGTAAAGATTCAATTCACTCTCCAAAAGCAAATGTTTAAAAACTTACTGTTTTGCCTATCTTTCATCTCTTACCACAAAGGCAAAACAGAATTTAGCTAATAGTGATTTGTGCTCAATACCGACTTCAGTACAACTGAAAAACTATAAAAAGTTTTGTAACAATTAATGAAATTATCCCAGCAAACTCCCAGGATGCAAGGTAAATTATCAACAATAACTTTTCTACTTAAGAGCAATAAACAGTAATTTTTTTTCAAAATAAATAGATACAATCCCAATTGCCACAATAATATCCTAAATCATTATAGTGGAGACAACAAAAATCAATAAAATACTTATGAATAACCCTGTAAAAATTACAAAAAGCTATAAAGAGAAATAGGCAGCTATTACATATGTGTGAGTGAGGAAATATTTACAATACAAATATCAATTCTTTCAAGTTTTAATTTATATTTTTAACATAATCCAAATAGAAATTCTTGTGGGAGTAATTTTAGAGCCCTTTAAAATTTTTGAAGTGAATTGGCAGAAAAAGTTATGGATTATAATGAGAACTCTAAATATGAATATTACTGAGAAGTTTTGCTGTAATGATAAAATATATGATTATGGTGTATTTAACAGTACAGACATGGCTCTGAAATTGATGTTCAAGTTATTATGAAAATAAAAGTATTCCAGAAACATACACGTTATTTATGTTTTAATTCAACAAATACATTGCCAGTCAAACACTGTGCAATGTTCTGGTCACTAAAGGGACACACACAATTTCTGTGCCCTTCTATTAAATTTGATGAGAAAATTTAATAGTTACTTTTATTGCAGGAAATATTAAAATAATTGGAATAGGAATACATACATGTGCATAAAAAGGGGAATTAAAATTACTGTATAATAAAATAAGAGTCACAAATAGACAAAACATTAAGGAATTGTCACTTAACTTTTGCAAGTCAAGTGTATTCCAAGAGATCTAGATATAAATCCTAGATGTATTACGGGAATAAATGAAAATTTTGCAACATACAAATAAAGATATATGAGGTTGATTACCGGCATTTTTGGAAAGCTTTTATGTGCTTCTGACACTGAGTACTAGAAGAAATTACAAAGAAAATGCCTGACAGATTTAACTGTGAAATAAACTACCTATATTAAAAATTAACAAATAGAAAGTAGATATAAAACTGCCTGCATCTAATGTAATACACCAAAGTCTATTTTTGCACAAATACTAAATATCAAATGAAAAATAGTCAAAGAATACTTCTCATTGAGCAAATGACTCATTAATGAACATATGGAAGAATGTTCAACCTCATTAGTACTCAAGGAAACAATCATTAAAACAATGATTGAAAACATTTCATTTTAAAAAATGGAAGGAATATGTGTTGCTGTTTTGAGCTTGCTTTGAATGCTGCCTTCCTGCATCCCCAAGGGTGTTTTCTGAAAATACTGAAATATTCTTACTCTGTACCAGCATATTTAGGAAGCATTCTAACCATATGTAGTTAGTAGACGATGCTCTTTTCAGGCACATCATATTTCAACAGCCAACAAACGAGAATAGTGTTAAGCAAATGAATGTTAAATACTCATCATGGCCTTACAGGTATCACAGCCAGCATGTGCAACAAATGTAGTAAATGTGATGAATGTGGAATAGATGGATAAAGGCACTTGTTTCTTCCAATAAAATCAATGAAAATATGGTACTGGTGTTTCAGATAATATGTTTCCATACCCTTCTACCTAGTAATTCTAATTCTATGTTTCTATTTAGATGAAGAACTCCAAACTAGAAAAATAAAG